CTGAGTAGCTAGGATTATCCATGTGAGCCTCTGATGCCTAGTCTCTCTGTGATTTATGAAAATAAAAAATATACAAATGAATGTATACAAAATATACAAATGAATATACAAAATAGCAGGATGAATCTCTGAGAACCTATCAGTACATAATAATCAAGGTGTTGACACAGAAAGAGTTGATGCTGGCCACTGGTTATATTCTCTTAGAATTCTCCTTGGTGGAACTCAAGATGCAGCAGGCATGTTTGCTTACTCTTAGGCTGATTTTATCTAATAATGTAGACTTAGGGAAGAAGCAAGGAGGCTGGTATTGTTGTTGGTGTTTCTGTTTGCTTCTGTCCCCAAAGAATCTGACATATCTTTCTTTTTTGATACACTTTTGTTCCTCAAAGCTGCAAATGATGTAGCTGCATGGCCAGGAAAACTATGGGTATTCCTATTGACGTTATTGGCGGGATGGATAGTATGTCAACCTCTGGCCAGCCTCAAAGGGCAAGCTAGAGTCAGCAATGTAGCCACTGGGGTGGTAGAAGCTCAGTACCTCTGCAGTCATTCCAGGAAGCTCCTTAGTACTGAGCTCTCTGGGAAAGTAAATCTTTGTCTTTCATCTCCCTTTAAATCAAGGAAGGAAGGAGAGAATCACAGTGGACTAATTGAGATTCTCATGAAACACAAATGAGGTCTAATACAGTGAAGCTGTAATATCAGTAAAATACCAGACCATGGCAATTTGTGGTGGACAAAACAAATCCACCTTTGTCTGTCAGTTTTCTAGCACTGTGACAAATTACCTGAGACGCTCAACTTCTAAAAACAAAATGCTAATTTGGGGCTCATGCTTTCTTTCTACTTGCATTAATTATACAGTGTCCCACTATTTACCAAATGGTTCAATATAGAAAATCATATGCTAATGTGCTATGAAACTCAGTTCATTGCCAAATACTTCCTCTTCATTTTCTAAGCAAGTCTAGCAGAAATCGAGTGGTTAAGCCATTGGTGAATAAAATGAAATGAGTGTGGGTAGAAAACCACCCATACTACTTGTAAACTTTCTAACTAGGAAATATGTATGCTCCTAAGAAGCAAGAGATAATCACAAAATTATTCACTTACATGTGCAATCCCTTCACTATTTTTGTTTAAATGCTCCTCTACCAAGGAGTAGACATTGTTCCTAAATTTTAGTTGTCTCAACTGAGTCTAGTAAAAATATGAACACTATCAAGACCTGTAATCCTGGCTACTCAGGAACTGAGATCTAAGGATGGTAGTTCAAAGTCAGCTCTGGTAGGGAACCATTAGACTCTTATTTCTAATTAACCAGCCAAACAAGCTGGATGTGCAGCTGTGGGTCAAGGTGTACAGCAACAGCCTTGAGAAAAAACAAATCCAAGGGAGAGCATGAAATCCTGAATCCAAGACTCAGTACTGCCATACAACATACACATACACACCCCCTACACAAATATGATCTCTGTAACTCTTTAGTTAAAACAAATCTCTTGCTTGGGTATAAGTCAAGACTTAAATCAATTTCAAAGTCACAGCAGCTGCCTGTGGAGCAAGGGAGAGCTTCCTACAGTGTGCTAGCTGGCAGGTACCCCTACTAAGAAAAGAGTACTGTGTCCAGACCCTCACTCACCAAGAGAGAAAAGTAGAGAAGTGATGAAAGGTTTCCAGGTAGGGTAGGAGAGAGGGTGAGAGGGAGGCTAAAAAAAAACCTTTCTTTGCCTCATTGATGCTGGAAAGCCTCATTTTGTGTGTATGTGTGTGTGTGCGTGTGCGTGTGCGTGTGCATGCTGGTATTAGAGTTCAAACTGGGTGTTGTCCAAGAATAGCACTCTACCACTTGGTCCATACTTCTACTTCCAGCTTTTTGCTAGTTAATTTTAGATATGAGTTTCATGAGACTGTTGTTGAACCACGATCCTCATATCTCAGCCTCCTGAGTAGCTATGATTATCAGATTGAGCTACCAGTGCCAGTGAGAACTTCATGTTTGTAAGGACAGATAAAGCAGATTTTTTTTTAAAGGCTAAATACATGTTTGTAAATTACGCATATTGTCAGAAAAAAGGGCAAATAGCCCAATATAAGAGCACTATCCTTGAGCAGAAAAATCTAAGGCACAGTGCTCAGGCCCCGAGTTCAATCCCCAGTACTGGTGTGCATGCACGCACACACACACACACACACACACACACACACACACACAGCAAATTGGTTAACACACAGAATTCAAAGTTCATATCTCAGATCAGCATGCTTTTGGCAAAGGGAGAAAGGTATTAGAGGGAACTGACATCAGGGCCAGGAGAAAGTTTGTTCTGCCTTTGACTATTCCATCTCTACTTGCTGTCAGAGTAAGGCAGATGTCAGTGGTGACATTAATTTTCCTTTAAGGGGAGTGATTGTTATCATTTGATGTACTAGGGGCTTTACCCCAATAGAAATTTAGCTTTAAAGAACATCACTTTTTACTTCTATAGTAATGTATCTCAGTGGTTGCATCCATGAGGCCCTGAGTTTGATCACCAGTGCCAGAAATAAAGGAGTGGGAGACAGGAAGTGAGGGGGGAAAATATAGGATTTATAAATTAAAGAGGTACTAGAAGAAAGCAAGGGAAGGGGTGACATTGTCCAAAAAGAAATGTACTCTTTACCTGACTTATGTAAGTGTAACTCCTATATCTATAACAATAAAATTAATTTAAAATACCACTTTTTCTGCAACAGTTGGTGGCACCCTTTCAGTGTCATATAGATAGAATTTCGTGGACAGAATATTTTACACACTATGGCAATTTGTGAGTAGTGATCTGCTAACTAGCCCAGTCAGTCCTGCTGTCTCCAGAGCCCGTTCCTGGACCCAGTACACATACTAAGGGCACCAACAGGTCCTCACCAGTTTTGGTGGAGAGCAAGCCTGGGAAGCTCATCACAGCAGGACAACATGGGAAGAACTCAAATGTTCTACAGACTACATGTCTCCATGTTGAATGGGTTCAGACTTCAATCACTGTAACAGAAATATCACTTTTGTAGGAGTTGCTACTTTGTAATGTCATGGAAATCTCGAAGTAGACAGACTCTGCCATCATCCTTTCCTGGCACATAATACTAACCCATCTCTTCACTTCCTAACAAGGTTTATTTGGTGCTGGTACTGGTGCTTGAACTCAGGGCCTAGACGCAATGTCTTAGCTTTTTTCACTCAAGGCTTGAGACAAACTTCCACTTCCAGCTTTTTAGTTGTTATTTTGAGATAAGTCTCACAAATATTTCTGTCCTGGCTGGCTTTAACCTGTACTCCTCAGATTCCAGCCTCCTGAGCAGCTAGGATCACAGATGTGAGCCACTTGCACCTGGCTTCCTAATCAGGACTTGAATTGTGTTATATTTTTTTCCCACCTAAAATTATTCTCTGACCCTTCCCCTCCCTCCTCAATGGAAACAGGGATGCTAGAGCTGGGGTAGGGTAGTATAAAACTCATCTGTTTCTTTTCAATGACCAAACCAGAGTCAATGGAATGTTTTTATTTTTATTTTTTTTTAGCAGGTGGGGAAATCAGAAAGACACTCAGGCCACCTTGGAGCAAATACCCACTGATCACTGGACTCTCTCTCTCTTTCAACTGTGCCCTTGCTCTGGTATGGAATCTTCAGAGGGCTCCAGAGCAAGCTCATTTCTTCCACTCTCTTACTTGCTACTATACTCCAATCTCTTACCTGCTACTGCACTGAACCCTGGAAATTTCATCCTGGTCCACATGCTATCCAAGTTAAATGCCCTGGCACTCAGTCCACAAGTCCTCCACCCCTATATTTAATAAGATATGAGACCTCATTAGCAGGCTCCTTCATGAAGGATCGCTTTGTAATTTCCCTAGGCCTCTGGCCCTGTTGGTTTCACGAGCTCTTTCCTTCATGGGAAAAATAATTAAACATTGAACTATGCTCATGTAAAGGCAAATTATTTTAGGATAAATTCAATGTTATGTATTAATTTCTCTTCTTATTTTCAGAAAAAAATAAAATTTAAATGTAATCATGAGCCACTGAAATTATTGTGGGCCCTAGGCTCTGTGACTATTAGGTCTAATGAATAAATTAGTTGCTGCCTGTATCCTTCCTCTCTGGTATTTTTCTTCTCATTGCCTTACTTCTTGGTAATAATCTCTGTGGACTAGTTAGAATGTCACACGTGACTATAAGCAAGAATTAATACATGCACATGTGTGCACACACACGCCTACATGAGAACATGTTATGTGCACTCACACTGTGTAAAATGAAATTACTAATCCAGCAACATAGCACCAGATACCAAAGGCAATGTTCTTTCCTTCCTTCCTTTCTTCCTCCCTCCCTTCCTTCCTTCCTTCTTCCTCCTCCTCTTCTTTTCTTTTTCTTTGTTTCTTTTCCTTCTTCTTTTCTTTCTTAGTTTCTTTGTTTCTTTCTTTCTCTCTTCCTTGCCTCCTTCTTTCCTTCCTTGCTTTCTTCCTTTTCTCTTCCTTTTTCTGTCTTCCTTCCTTTTGTCTTTTTGTCTTTCTTGGAGGTGTAGAGTTTGAACACAAAACCTGGTGCTCTTGTTTGGTTTGCTTGCTCAACTGGTATTCTACCACTTGAACCATGGCTCCAGACCAGCTTTTTGCCCTTAAGGGCTTTTTACTCATTTCACCATACCTGGTAAACTTTAAAATCCCCAGGTTGGATGACGGACATTTTCTTTGAGCCCCTGGCAGTCTTCTCCAGGCTTGGCAGCTCCAGGGAATCGGCTGTCTCCCGTTTTCCTCGTCTGGTCCTTCGGGCACACAGTGCTAAAAATGTGCTCCAGGGCAGTGAGCTATTAATTTAGACATAGCTCAGCTTGAGTGGAGAGTGGGTCCAGGCCTTATTAATGCTTACTGGCTGGTAGCTCCCACAGGACTTCCCTGTCCGGGAGCTCAGGCTCTGAAGTGTGCTACTATAGGCTCTTCGCACAGCTCCTGGGGTCCTTAAAAATCATCATCACAGGCGTCAAGGTACACGTCAAAAGCCTCTCTGTTGCACTTCCCGTCAGGAGTGAAGACATACTTGTGGAAGGTCCCATCTACGCAGACGGCAATTACAGAGTTGACATTCTGGGAAGTACTGCGACCAAAGGCGCAGATGCAAGCCGACTCAGCAGACACAGTAAAGCTGGCCAGACTCCACTGGGAGTCCACGTACTGCCCGATCATAGGGCCCACGTACTGCCCAATCATAGGGCCGACCCTGCCCACACGAGCCAGCGCAGAGCGGCGGTTGAGGCGGGTATCCTTGAGAGCAAAGATATGGACAGTGCCCTTATCACTGGAAGCGCAGAGGAAGGAGGAGTCGTGGCTGAAGTTAATGCAGTAGAGGGTGGCAGGGTCAATGCCTCGGCGCAGCTCCACCAGTTTCTCCTTGGACTGGGTGTCAAAAAGACGGATAAGAGTACCTTTCTGGGAGGCCGAGGCCACCACCGTGCCCGGCGGATTCAGAGACACACAGGCCACATCACTCTGATGGGCATTGATGGTAAATGGGGCGGATGAAGTGCCAGGCTTGGGGCTTGCCAGCTCCACAAGTTGTAGACTTCCACACTTGTGTCCCGGGAACACGAGCAATTGCTTCTCCAGGCTGGGGCAGAGTTCACAAAGTCCTCTGGGATTGTCTCGGGTGTCAAACTCAAACAGCTTCCGGGGACTGTCTGGAAAGGAGTACACATAGATGCGGTTTCTCAGCACCATCACGATCTTGTCGTGGCGCATGCGTACAGTCAGCACTGGCTGGGGGAAGGTGAACTCTAGCACCAGTTTGTCCTTGGAGTCTCTGCCCTCCTGGGCATCGTCCCAGATCAGCACGGAGATGGATGAGAACTTGGGGCTGCTACCACCGCCCACCAGGGCCAACAGGTTGGAGCAGTGCAGCATCTCTACCAGGCCAATGCTGCCCACCTGTTGGTGGTCCAGGCGCCTCCTGGCCTTCAGTGGCTCCACGCTGTAGACCAGCACACCTGTCTCCATGGCGCAGCAAAAGCAGCTTTGGTCTTGGTTGAAACGCAGGCCCGTCACCCCTCGAAGCGGCTGCTGAGACATGGTCCAGGATTGCTGCGCCCCCCTCCCCACCCCCCTGCCACAAACGGGCTACAGTTGAGAAGAGTCTCCAAATTCTAGAAACTTCTGTCCACAGGTGTTTTCCTCCTTTCCTTCTCGGCTAACTTCCTGGCCAGGGCCTGGGATCGTGCTGTGGCTGCTTCTCACCTTCCTCCGCTGGCTCTACGGATCCCTCTCGAACCGAACCGATCTCTGCTCTCAGCACCTGGGGCAGCCTGGTTTTCTGACGCCCCCCTGGGCTCCGGTGTTTACATCAGGCCCTGCTTCCGGAGGAGGGAATCTGAGAGCGGAAGTGACTCATCAGGGCCCCAAATCCCCTCGATCCTCTCCTGGCCTGACCCTGACCCGTGGGAGAGTCTTTGGAGCATCCCGAGGAGCATCAGGGTATTCCCCCGGAGGGAGGGGGGCTCCCCCAAGGCCCAGGCGCAGACTAGCTTTTTTTTTTGGATAGTTAATTGAAGATGGACTCTCTCAGGCTTGTCTTCTCTGACTGGCATTGAATCACAGTCTTCCAGATCTCATCTCCACCTACCCACCGCCCCCCCCCAACTCCCCACAGATTACAGGTGTGAGCCATCCACACAGCCAGCTGCAGTAAATCAGATTCGTTTCCATTTTGATATCCATTGCATTCACTGTTAGCATATAAAAAAGCAGTTGGGTTAAAAATATATATATATATACATATATAGTTACTTAAAACTTTGATAAACATGTACATTCATTTATGAAGTTTATTTTTTGGTCCTTTCAGATTTTCATGTAAACAATCATGTCATTCATTGCAGATAGGGATGGTTTTATTCCTTCCTTCCAAGTCCTGTGTTCTTTTCGTGTGTGTATCTCTGTGTGTTCAGGTGTGTGCTCGTGACTCACTGGAGTAGAGAGATTCTCACCTCAAATTTCCCTCTTAGGTGTGTGCTTTTTCCATTTTTTTTCCTACAAGGAGTAGGTTTTGCTTGCTTAAAAAATTAATTTGTGTGTGTGTATGTGTAATTGTAATAGAAATTTCTACCTCAAATTTTCCTTATTGATGGTCTCTCTTCTCTGTTTGACTACAAAGAGCAGGCTTTAGTGTAGGCTTCCCTGAACCTGTTAGTATTCCCATGTTGCTGGGTTCTCTGTTCCCTAAGGTAGGAGATATGAAGCAAAAATAGCATTTAGGGACTTCACCACCAGATCCCCTATTCTCTTTCCTTCCCAGCCTTCTGTGTCTATTTTACACACAAAGAGGCTTTCTCTGTACCAAGGAGATGAGTCAGGAAACATGCATCTACTCCATATTTTGAAAAGCACCATTCATTTTATAAAATGTCCTGAAAAAATCATTCCTTGGCTTGAATTTCAAAGTTTCATGAAATAAAAATAAAAAATTAAAAACAATAATTGCAATTGCAAAATAGAAACAAATGAACATTATGTGGAACCTAAGTCCTAACTACAGGTTAGGGTCATCAACCACATGGTTAGGGGTAAATGTAGGGTTGGCTTACTCCAGATCTGTTTGAAGGATGGAAAACTTCTTTTTGGGAAGTGCCTAGCTCTTGTGAGCCTCACATGGCTGGCAGAGACACTGCTCTGAAGACATGGTGATATTTATTTCAGGGGGAATTCAGTCTTTTGGCTGATCTCCCAGGTCCCCTGCCTGGATATTTCAGAGGGACTGGAGAAAACTAGGAAGAACTCAACTAATTTCATCTTCACAAAACAGAAAACAAAACCCACAGTGTTTTAACTTTTTGCTCAAAAAGTTTCTCAAAAGGTAGAGCCAGCCCTTCTCACACAATCACATAGCACTGTATCTCTTTGGGGGATTAAAACAGTTTCATTCATTATCATTCTTCTGTCTTGGGTTTTGAAAGCAAAAGCCTGGAGGAGTATTGCAGATGTTTTGTGATCATGAGAACAGAAACCATGTGACCTGGAGACCAGCGTGGCTATGGAAGGTCCCGGGTCCTGGGTCTTGAATGGTTTGCCTAGGAAAGGGGTGTTCTGTTCCAAGAAACTTGACACTATTTTCCTGAATCACTGATACCACATTCTGCACTATCCATTCAGTCTTTAATAATCATAGGATGGATTTATTTATTTTGAATGCAGGGCCCGAGCACTGTCCCTTAGCTTTTTCACTCAAGGCTGGCACTCTAACACTTGAGCCACACCTCCACTTCCATCTTTTTTGGTAGCTAATTGTAAGATTCTCATGGATTTTCTTGTCCTGGCTGGCTTTAAATGGGTGTTCAGATCTCAGCCTCCTGAGTAGCTACAATTACAGGAGTAAGCTGATGGTGCTTGGCTAAGCAAGGCCTTTGAGATAGGTTAGTGTGTCTTCCTTAGTCCTAGCTTTGTTTGTCATCTCCTATGTTACATTCGCCTATCCTAACTTTATGACTCTAGTGTTTAAAATATTACTTTCTCAGGTTTATTCATGAGTTCTAAAATAATTTTCAGATTCTTCCTACTATGTTAATTTGCACGATATCTACGTGTGTCCCTCACCTTTGATTTTTCTTCCAAATGATTTGTTGTCATTGAAGATATTGCTTTGGTCACCTGATAGTACCAGTATGGCTTCTCCTCCTCCCTGTCTAATGCCAGGCTGGCATCCAGGTCACTCCCTGGTATCACTGTAGTAGTGATAGTCACTTTTCTGAAAGAAAAAAAAAAGATAAAAGTACAAATTTTGCTTCTCATGCTACTGAGTCCTGATGTGTCTGGGAGCAATTTGCATAAAGGATTAGAGTTGAAGGTTTTATTTAGGTATTTATTGTGTGTGTATGTGTTTCAGGACCTAGGTGTTGTCCCTTAGCTTTTTCCGCTCAAGGATAATACTCTACCACTTGAGCCACAGCTCCATTTCAGGTTTGGGGGTGGTTAATTTGAGATAAGAATCTTACAATCTTTTGGAGCTGGGAAGGTGGCTCAGTGGTAGAGTGCTTGCCTTGCATGCATGAGGCCCTGGGTTTGATTCCTCAGCACCACATAAGCAAAAAGAAAAAGCCAGAAGTGGCGCTGTGTCTCAAGTGGTAGAGTGCTAGCCTTGAGCTGAAGAGCTGAGGGACAGTGCCCAGGCCCAGAGTTCAGGCCCCACGACCGGACCCCCCCTTCCCCCCAAAAAATATCTTATGAACTTTCCTGTTTTCCTGTCCAGGCTAGGTTCTAAACTGTGATTCTTACATCTTGATATCCTGAGTAGCTAGGATGATAGGAATGTGCTTCCAGTGCCTAGCTTAGAGTTGTTCTTCATATACTGAGTCATCTCTTCCTCTGATAGGAAGAGCTCCGGGGGACCTCTGTGGTATATACCAAGTTCCTAGGGCACCATTTCACCTCTGCAGATGTCTTCCCTTCCCATCCACCTGCCTGTTCTAGACTACAGGGAGTATTTGACAGACATGGAGAGAGCAGGAGAGTGTTGCTGAGCAGCAGCCTGCCTTCTGAAGGGAAGCCAGTAATGTGAGTGGTATGGAGGGGACTTTGTGTTGTTCTACGAATCCTGGAAGAAAGGATTCACCTCAAGTTGTTTTGAGCTGGTGATGTGCAACGATAACCCGCTGTTTGTATTCCTCAAATCTGGGCTGTGCATCTTACTCAGCTGCAAATCAGAACCATCTGTGGATGACCAGTGTTTAAAATCTCTCCTAAGACTCTGATTTGTTGCCAAGTGGAAAAATACTGGCACCTGACTTAGTAGAAACACCTGCCAGGTTCTGACAAAATATTACCCACTGGGCTCATTTTGCAATGCTGTAAATTTTCACTTCTACAAGTTCATAAATATTTTAGAAGAAAGTTGGATAGCTAGTCTCAGGAACTGCTATCTAAAGCTTAGCTGAGAGCAGAAATAAGCTGTTTTGCTAGTTCCCAACTTTATCCTGCTTGGTCTCTTCAAGCATTAAATGGCTTTGTTGGTGATAGTTGAAGTAATTAGAGGAGTGAAGACCTTAGAAGACAGAAAACAGAACTAACAAGGAGTTGGAGCCCCTAAAAGATGTATGTTGAAATAAAAAGAATCAGGCTAGTTGGATGCCAGTCCTAGCTATTCAGGAAGTTGTGATCTAAGCATCATGGTTCAAAGCCAGCCTGGACAGAAAAGTCCATGAGACGCTTTTTTTTTTTTTCCAATTAACCAGCAAAAAGTCTCAATTGGTAAAAGCAAAAAAAAAAAAGCACAGAGACAGCATCCAAACCCTGAGTTCAAGCCCCAGGATTGGTCCCTCCCCCCAAAAAAACCTCCTCACCCACAAAAGCCCACATCAGGCTAGAAATGACTCCCGTAATTTTTTTCCTACTAATTGAACCACATATCAAGCATCATATTTCTATCATTCTTTATACTCTACAGGGATAAGGAAGAACAGATGCTGAAACCTTATTTTTCTTTTGTACCAGTACTAGGGCTTGAACTCAGAGTCTTATACTCTCACTCAACTGTTCTGCTCATAACTGGAGCAATACTACTTGAGCTATACCTCCACTTCTAGCTTTTTGCTGGTTGATTGGAGCAAGTACCCAGTAGCATGAGCTACCACATAGGTGGCAATTGGTAACAGTGTTCTTAAAGAAGGTAGTTGCAAACTATCTGAAAGCCCTGAGTAGGAACAGAGTCCCACCTGGGATTGGTACCTGGGTGTATATAACCATGTAGAAGAGAATTGACCTGAAACCTACCTGGGACTGGCATATGAAAAGAAATACTTTAACCCCATGGAAACTTTGGGGACTCTTTGTTACTGCAGCATAATCTACCCTCATGCACATAGACCTTGAAAAGAGTGCAATAAATCTATTGATTGATTTGCATTGATGGATTTATCTATTTATTAAAAATATACGGTAATATGCATAAGGAGTATTTGCTGTATGCAATAGTTCTATAAATTAGAAACTCTTCTGCATCTGCCCTTTAGAGTTTCTCATAGTAGTTGGTCTCTAAAAAAAATAAAACTATGCCAGGTGCTAGTGACTGATGCTTGTATATTAGC